GGGTTGATTCTAGGCAGGCAGTATTAGAAATAGCTATGCTTAAGAGAATCATAGGTTCAAATATGTTTGAAAATGGCACCACTATAAATAAAGAGCAGGATCTCCTATGTTTGCCACCTTATCAGATTTTAACTTGTCTTGTAGATCAAAGAAATTTATTACCTTTGAAAACTCCTTTAAGTCAATAATCAGTGCCTCTTACATAGGTCTCAATGGTCTCAGTATCAGGAGGGCCTTGGATAACAAAGTGTTAAGCTACAGAACAAAACTGACCCATCCTTTCCTTGTTCAGATGACCTTTGCTTGAAAAGAAAAGATGAGCTCCTTAGAGTTGAGCCCAGAGAAGAGAGAAGAGATGGGAGGGGTGTTGTTCAGCATTCTAGAGGACTGGTATTACTGGATGAGTTGTATCTCATTTTGACAGCAGCAGTATAGTAAATGACAAGCTCTGTCAGGTAACGCATTTATCTTCACAGGAAAAGCAGTCATTGCAAAGTAAGACTCTCAGATGTTGTCACATCAGCTAGGACAAGAAGTCATAAAGTAGGAAGGCTATCAATGCAGGAGGTACAGCGATATCTCAACTGCAATTAGGAGGAGCTGTGAATGGACACTCCAGCTTCAAGCTCACAGGAGCCCTGACTTTTTCCCTCTGGGCCTGGCTTACCAAAGCAAGTGATCAGTGGAATCTTTATCAGCCAACTAGGAGTTTAAGCCACTGAGCTGCCTACTTTTTATTCTAAAACCTTTATGGCAGCTCTGCTATTTCTCCCAAATGTTAACTAACCAAGAAAAAAATAAAACAAGAAAAACAAAGATCAATCCTATGGTCAAAACATTAAGCTAGACATAGGCTGGTCACTGAGTTTGATACAGTCCCCTAACTCTCAGAAGAGTTAGATTCTAATTAGACAGATATGTAGCAGGCACTGCAAGCAGGGATGGTCCATGCTTGAAGAGAATCATAAAGGGTGGTTCTGGGAGCAGTGAGGAGGGCAGTAGGCGCAATCTATGGAGGCCTTCATGGAGAAAGTGGCATCTAAGTTAAAGCTTAAAAGAAGGCTGTGAACTGGTCACATGGAAAGGTAGGAAAATAGGAGAAAATAATATATACCTAGTTACAAAAAGATACCAAGTGTGTCCCGGGAATGGATGAAGTTTGTATGGCTGAAACATTGAGGAGGAGGAGGTTTGGAATTTAAACAGAATTTGAGGAGCAGGAGACACAAATATTATCCGGATGTTCTGAGGGATGAGAGAAGTAAGCAGCACGGATGACATTTACCTGCATTTCAAGTCTATTTATTTAAAGGTGGTTATTCATAGGAATGCTAACAGATCTAATGAAAAATAAGATAAACCTAGATATCCCAGAATAATCCTATAATGGTTCTTAAAAGCTGAATAATCATTAAGCAATTATTAAAATTCTATTGTACATACTAGTGAGCTTACAAGAGAGAAGATACTTGTTTTGAAGGTATAGTGCCTTATATAGCACCCACTCCCATGACACAAAACCCTGTAATTTTAAACAGCTAAAACTATAAAATTCAGCAATGAGAAGCTTCTTTTCTTTCACTCTCAATGGTCCATGTTATACTGCTCTAATCACATTATTATTAATTACACCTTACTCTGGAGTTAGAGAGAACTGATTTAATACTGACCATGCTTCTTGCTAACTGAGTGATTCTAGGCAAGCTATTCACCATTCCGAGCCTCTGTTGCCTGTAATGGACCTATCTCTAGGGCTGCTGTCAGTATCTGGTGAGACAATACTTAAGGTAGGTATTTCTATTTCCATTTTACTGAAGAGTAATGAGACTCAGAGAGGTTACATGATTTGTGCCAAGCCATACAGCTAGCTTCACAACAGCCCTCAGACTGCACACCAGGACTTCTGACTCATTCTGCAACTAGTTCCCTTTCCTGCCATAATTTTTTTTTTTGTTTTGGTGGTGATTTTCAATGGTAATATAACTAAATTTCAACCATGATGACCTTTTTAATATTGTGGAAATAATGAAAGTATTAGAATAAAGACAAAATAAAGGGGGAGTGAAGAATAATAACTGTAGCAAAAATAGCACTGGATGAACACATTAAATGGGTGAATTGTATTTATGTGAGTTATTTCTCGATAACATTGTTAAAAATTTAAAAATTTAAATAGCACTAAATAAGAGTAATATGCCCTTTAGAAGAGGTTCAATTTTGAGGAAGTCACATTTGTTGCTTCATTTTCTTACCTGTAAAACCAGGCTGCTATTACCTTAGTCTTAGACGATCCCTAAGCATTGTCTTTGCTTAGGGATTAGGATAAAACAGAATCCTCAATGATAAAAATCCACCATGGTGCACATAAGGCTCTAGTACACTACGATGACACTAAAAAGAACTTGAGAAAAAAGGGACTTTATTTATTAATTTCTAATGACATGTGAGCTCTTAAAATGTATAGGAAACGTAGGCTAGCACCTGTTCATGAGGTCATCCCTTCTCAAAATACTGAAGTCACTGAAATAGCAGCAGCAGGAAGTTCTAGGAATACAGATTACATGAGCTTGTTTCTCTATGGCAAAATTACCACATAATCAGGAAGATCCATTATCCAAATCAAGGGCTTCCTAATCCATTAGCACAACAGGTTGGTAGAGAGGTACCAATCACATGGGTCAAAGAGTCAAACTAAACACAAATGCGGCCAGAGTTATCCAAGCCTATAACAGAATCCCAAATCACACCTGGTCTACTCATGTTTAAAGGCTCACACACTGCACCAAACTTAGAAATAGACCTCTTCTGATTCGTTCCCATTTTATGAAGGAAGTGTAAAATGAAATGTTACTTGTTTTCTCTTTCAGTAGGAAGACCATTTCCATGTTCCAAATTCTTGATTTCCTGGTTTCATTGAAATGAAACATCAATACCAAGGGTTTCATAAAAGCAAAGATAAAACATGATTTTCCACTGTTTTTAAAAGGCTGAGGTCATTTTTGCCCCAGTTCCTGCATAGTGGTAAGCTTAAAAATCAAGCCATTTAGCTCACAGTCAGGTCCAATAAATCAGTGGAAAAAATAAATGGGAAAGCATGCCAAAATGTAACCATAGTAACACCACAGATGCATCAAGAAATGGTGTGCTCATTTGCTTCATTCCCCATTTCTTAAATTGGAGTCTAAGTAGGGGAAAAATTACACAGAAAACAATCATGATTCTGCAATTACTAAATTCTGCAAAACTGCACTCAACCTGCTATACTAAAACTTCAGAGGCAACTATGGAACAGCTACAGAAATATCCCTACAGGGCTTAAGAGATGCTACTTGTCAGTTACTTGATCACTCTATGACGGTTTCCTCATCTGTAAAATGGGTATTAAAAATTCCAACCTCAAAGGGTTTTTCTAAGGGTAAAACTGGACAGTGTATCAGAGGCAGGGCAATGGTAGTAGACACCTGAAGATCTGGTCACCTTTAAGTCTGTTTTTATTGGCTTACCTCAGTGCCTTGGTTTCTTGATTTATAAAAATAAAATGATAATTCCTGCCTCATCCATGTGATTAACATTAAAAATTATTATTAATCCAAGAATAAGAAATTATTATTAGGATTACAGGTTTCAATTCCAAGGCTATAAGACTAAGAGAACTGAGGGCCAGACATTCCCATTAAGACATTATCACAACATTTTCTCTGTCAAATGCAACTCTGCCACTCATCAGAAAAAAAGCAGCTTTGGGGCACTGACCCCAGTTACTAGCAGTTAACCTCTTTTCCTCTTGCAGCCTTGGTTTCATTAATAAGTAAAATGGAGGGCAGGGGGCTATTCTAGAATCTGATCTCTAAAGGTCCTGGATTTAAGTTCTTGGTTTAAGTTCTTGCAGAGCTACGGCATGGATTAGATTAGTTCTGTTATTTTGCAGTACTATCAGGAAACATTCACACTCTAGCGCATTACTTGCAAAGTATTATTTTTTAAAGAAAGTCATTTATAACAAACGAATCGCAGCAATAAGCAGGGTACCTTGAACTTCAAATCATTTTTCCTTTCATTTGCTGGTTGAAATATAATATTTCTAAGAAAGACATTTCAAACTTTGAAGGATGGGGTGATAGGAGATAAAAGAAAAAATTCCAAATAATAAAACCAGATCATTCTTTCTTATTTTGAATGAAATTAAATAATTGTATGTATTCTCAGGATCCCTAGCTTATGACTAGCTGTATAGGGATGTAGTTTGGTAAAGCATGGTAATGCTTCACTACAAACGAACTGCCAACTTATCTACCTTATAAACTCACTCCCTCCCTCCTTTTTTTCTTTCCCTCCTTAATACAAAAATCCTGTTCTCACAGTCCCTATGTTCTCTGTCCTGCTTTCTCGGATTTGGTTTGATCTAATGAGTTTGGGGCTTTGGGTTTATTAATCTATAGAAACCATTTCTTCAAACAAAATTATACTTAAATTTTTGAATCTGATAAAGTTGGGGAAGAAAAGAATCCAAGGAGGCATTCTCTTCCCTGAGGGGCCATTAGGAACACTGGGACCTCCACAGTGGTCAGTCTGAAGGCCTCTGGCCTGGTCTACTCCATTAATAACAATGATGGTCAACATTTATGAAGGCTTACACCATGCCCATATGATACAAAAGGCATTTACGGACCTTAGCCCATTTATTCTTCACAACAGTTCTGTGAAGTTATTAGTATGATTGAGGTGTCCTTCTCACTGATGTGAAACTGAACCTTACAAAGGATAAATAATTTACCCTGCATTATTAGCTACTAAGTGGCAGAGCCAGAACTCGAAAGCCAAGTAATTCACCTTGTGCTGTGCTGTATGTCCCTTGCCAATTATGATTCCCTGGACTTATGGAGTCACTAAGTGAGCAAGCTGCCAAGTGTTCCAGAACCAGCTGTCAAGCTATTCTTTCTCCACTCGACTTTCACACACCCACCCACCCAGCAGCAAGATGCCCAAAACTGGCTACTTACAAGGCACAGCATGGCGGTAAAGGTTATCCCTTATGGTCTGCTGGAGCTCATGATCAGGGGACCCTTTCTGGAACCGCTGATTGAGAAAATGTCGCAGGTCCTTGTTCAGCTTTCCTCCTGCAGGAAATATATGAAAGAGACACAACACATCAACAACACGGCTTCCTAAAGACTGAGCAGCCTGAGAGCCATGCGCGGGAAAGCCACATGAAGCCATTTTATCAGCTACTCTCAGTCATTAGTAGGACTCACTTTAGGTTTTCCTCTGCAGGGGAGAAAGTAAGCAAGAATGTGATAAAGACAAAACAGCACTGAAATAGCATTAATTTGGGGGTCCCATTTCACTTAATACTAGAAGGCTAAAATAACAAAGAATTTAAACTAGGCTATTACATGAAAAATATGTGCCATAGACACTTGCAGATACTATTAGAGGGAGAGCAAATGACTGAAACCTTAAAGAGGACAATTGAGCAACAGCTGACAAATTATAAAATGTTCTTTGACCAGGGATCCAATTGGTAGAAATTTGCCCTATTGATATACTTGCAAAAGTCTGCCCAAAACTCCAGTATTGTTTACTGCAGTACTTTATAACAGCAAATAAATAAAAATAAAAACAAAAAACCTGGAAACAACCAGCAGGGATCTACTAAGTAAACCATATTCATCCAAATAGTAACGACTCTGCAAATGCTAGATCTTTATATGTTGGTATTATATGAAAATATGTGAATAGTGCATGCTGCCTGATTCCTTTTGTGTAAAAAGGAATAAAGAAAAGGGAAGACCATGCGTTATTAATGGAAGGAATCATAAGAAAGTTTTAACAAAGTTCCCTTTAGGGAGAAGGACTCGAGGGTGGGAAATAAAGGAGGATACATCACTCATCTCTACGTAGACAGATAGATAAAAATAGATAGATCTTACTATCCTGTGTTAATTTACAGACACTAGATACATACTTCTTTTTTATTATTGTTGTTGTTTAAGCGATAGTTAATTGGATGGAGCTATGTGTTTATTTCTTTGTAATTCTCTTCATGTAACAGAAAGAAAAACTTAAGAATTACATTGTTACAAATACGTGTCATAGGAAGATGGTAAAAAAATGTATTTTTTAAATTATAAACACAAATTATAGTCTACAGGATCAACAGAAGGCTTGTAGATCAACCTAGCTAACATTCACCATTAATGAAGAAAGATGTTTCAGTGACAGCTAAAAATAGAAAGGTTAAGATTGTCCTTCCATTTTTAGACAAGATATAAAATTAGGTAAGAGCATTTCTAGCCTTAGAGAAACAATGCAGCAATGCGGTATCCATGTGAGCTACAGAATTCATGTCTTCAGATGAGAACTTCCCCAAGGTCAAAAAGAGTAAATCGCCAGGATGACAGGAATAGTTAAGATGATGATATGTCCTACCTAGGGCAGGAAACATCATGTTCAAAACACGAGTCCCTGCTAAGGTTGATCATTTTAGAATATATTAGCAAAACCCAACTTGAACTATTTTATTTGGGTCGTATTATACTTATGGTTTCAAGTGGCCAAAAAGAAAATACATCTATTCAAGTCAATCTTAGGTCATTCAATAAATATTCAATTACTCATCAAATATTTATTAAATGAAAGAGACAAACACCCAAACTTCCCACTCACTCCCCCCCTAAAATGGGCACAAGGTTAGAACAGACATTTCTCAAAAGAATATATATGACTGGCCATTAAGTACATGAAAAGGTGTTCAATATCATTAATTATAAGAGAAAGGAAAATTAAAACCACAATAACATCCTACTTTATACCCCCTAGAATGACAAAAATTAAAAAGACTGACAATATCAAGCATTAGCAGGATTATGGGGCAACAGGAAATTTTATACACTGCTAGGGTGAATAAAATGGTTCGTTCTCTTGGAAAAACAATTTGGCAGTATCTTATAAAGTTAAAAATTTACTAACCAAATGATCCAGTAATTCCACTTTTATTTATGCAAGCAAAATGAAAACAAGTACACAAAAACACTCACACACACACACAAACTTGTAGATAAATCTTCATAGCAACTTTATTCATTATATAATAGCCCAAAATTGGAAATAACCCAAATGTCCATCAACAGGTGAATGGATAAGCAAACTAGATTACATTCAAACAATACGATGCAATACCACAATTAAAAGGAGCACATATGTAATATCGATAAATCTCAAACACGTAATGCTAGGCAAATGAAGCTAGACACAAAAGAGAACATACTGTACAATTCTAACTTTATAAAAAGTTTTAGTAAAGGTTAAAAACTTTATAGCGACAGAGGGCAGTTAAACGGTTACCTAAGAGTAGACAAAGGCTGACTGCAAATGGGCACAAAGGCTTTAAGATGTATGGAGGGTACTCAACGTCCATTTCTTGGCTTTGCAATTTAACTATAGTTATATAAGATTTTACCACTGGGGGAAACTGAGTGAAGGGTAGAGGGAACCTCTGTCCTATTTTTTTATAACTTCCTGGGCAACTACAATGATTCCTATATAAAATGTTTTTAAAGGGAGGAGAACAAGAACACTTATGGGGGGAGATGCCAATAGAATATATCTTGATTATGATATGCTATCACAGGTTTATACATTTGTCAAAACTTACAGAACTATATATGTAAATGGGTGCATTTTATAGTATGTAAATTATCCCGTAACAAAATCTATTTCAAAAGTTTAAAATATACATAATTGTTGAATGACTATGTGTTAGGCACTGTTCTAAATGCTTCATTCTCAAGTTCCCATTAGAAAACTGAACTGAAAGAAAAATAGAATAAATTTTGGTAGTTAAGGCAGACAGGGTTGGGTTTAAATCCTGGCTCCAATATTGACTAGCTGGTAAGCCCAAGTGCATTGCTTAATCTCTGAATCTCACTTTTCTCATCTGCAAAAATAGAGCACTGATATATCAGTAGCTCCATCATATGATTGTTGTGATGATTAAATGAGATTCAGACAGTGCTTGGCAAACGAAAAGCACTCAATGAATGACGGAAATTATTATTATGAGAATACAGAGTGGACAATTGTTTTGAGACGAATGGGAAAGAACTGGGATCAGTCCAAAGATGGACTGTTGTTTTTTTCTTAAATGCACATTAACATAAAACTCATCCTATTGGCTTAGATAGAGTCAGAAACAAAATGTAGGCCTAGGAAACTTAGATTGCAGGATATTTCTAGAGTTACATATGTGTGGACCATTTGAGCACAGGGGAATAAAATTCTACTTGTGCTCAAATGGTCCAGACATATGTAAACTGGACTGAAGTTCAGGAAATAAAACCAAATGGTAAATCACTGATATCTGATAGTCACATCTGCCAACTCTACCTCTAGATGTAAAGCACTCTGTAACTTGACAGAAAGGTTAACAATGTTTACCAGCAAAATGTGTATTGTCTAGAATCTAAGGTTTTATATTCCCCTTAAGAGACCACGGTTCTAGACATGAACTGCCAGGTGGGTGCTAGTCTTATCAGAGTGATCACTTCATAAGTTATATAAATGTCTAACCACTATGCTGTACACCTGGAACTAATATAATATTGAATGTCGACCACAATTGAAAAATAAAAAAGTAAAAATAAAAAACGCTGGCAGTTATCATCTGAGTCATAAGTACCAAAGATGCCTGTCAAACCCAAATGCACTGCTTGAGTCAAAAGCAAAATTCCAAAGATAATTTGGAATACACTCTCTCTTCATCTCATATATAACATAGGTTCATCCATCCCTATGGATCATAAGCAGTACCTATCAAGATAAACCAAGGACTTACGGATTGGAAAGCACTAAGACACGGGCACTGCTGGTTTACACTTAGGCTTTGTGTTAAAACTAGCCAAGCTAGTTACAGTTTACGATCATCAGAGTATATAACTCCTCTCTACTGCGGATGCACAAAAGGGCAGGGTTAACTGTGTCGCCAGTTAATATTTACTCTGTTCCATGACATTTATAAGTGAAAAAGCCTCAACCTTCACATTACATTAAGAATACTGTACTTTTTGGTATCTAATCTCAAATTAATTGCCAATTATTTAGGGGACATGTCTATAAATCTTCTCCTAATTGGCAATGAGCCAATGAAATAATAAATTGCAAGAGAGAATTTGTCATAGGATCTACACCTTCTTTGAAATTCAAGATTTGTTTTGCAAATGGAAAAGAAAACATAGGTCGGGAATATGCAAAACTTTTTCTAAGAAAAGGATTCAGAGCTTATTTTTAAACAATTTTATAATCTAAATGGGAAAAATAGGGCTTAGACTATCCTGGACTGCCACTATTTTATATTTTCATATTTTGTCTATATATCTAGAACTCTGTCTTTTACATTTAATATAACATATTGCTGCTTTTTAAGTTCACATTAGTTTACAGAAATTTAACCACGCTGACTGATGTAAGTTTCATTAATTATTTTAAATGTAGTATAATATTTCATTTTTAAAATGTACCAAAATATATTTATCTTTCATAGACTGTTAGGCTATCTCCATTGTTTCTGACAATACGACAATGCTACAGTGTCACTGTAATGCCTTTTTTAAAAAGAAAAAGAAAGTGTTAAGTTTTTTTCTCCAGACTATCTAAACCTGGAAACAGACATAGACATCTTCGACCTACCTAGGTATTGCTAAATTCTTCCCCAAAATGGTGGTGCCATTTTCCACCAATAGTTTTAGAGGTTCTATTTCCCCACACTCAGGCCAATATTTGCCATTATTAGTGTATCAGGAGTACTCTAGATGAGTGGGCCCCAAACTTTTTGGCATCAAGGACCGGTGCTCTTATGAGAATCTAATGCTTGATGATCTGAGGTGGAGCCGAAGCGGTGATGCTAGCGCTGGGGAGTCACTGCAAATACAGATGAAACCACTCGCTCACCTCCTGCTGTGCGGCCCGGTTCCTAACAGGCCATGGACTGGTACCTGTCCATGACCCAAGGGTTGGGGGACTCCTGCTCTAGATCAATCCCAGATTTAATGATTCACTAGCAGGATTCAAAGGACTCACAGCTATGATTTATTACAGCAAAAGGATACAAAGCAAGACCAGC